ATAATAATAATAAAAACAACGAATACACAATATAAACTCTTGCAGTCCGGAAAGCAAGTGATTACTTGCTGAACGCAATTGTGTTCGGGGTTTGACAGTACGCGTAGCCAGTGACAGTACCGCGGTGGAAAAATCGAGGACCGTACCTCCCCAGACAGGCTCGAACCGCACTGCGAACCGCGGGTTGATTGTTGTCGTTGGTACACTAATCGCGGGTACGATGACAATAATTGTAAATTATAAATTAAAACAATATCAACAGTTGATAACGAACAACGTTATTTTGAGTTTAGGCGCTGCCGTCTTGGTGATGTCTCCGACATCATAATCGACGGCAAGGTATAAGAGTGATGGCTGTATACCGATTTTTCGCAGACGTATTTGAACAAAAGCGGTTTGGTGTTTTGAAAAAAAAAAAACGGAAACATAACTTTTGGGCCACACCGTATTTATATACATACATATACTGCTGCGCTACTCGTATTGTTATTATAGTACTGTTGCGGGGTTTCGGACCATTTGTTATGGTCGGCGGACGTGACTAAACACTGTATATACGACGTATTTAATTTCGGATTGTTTGCGGGCTGGCCGCACTCCTACGCTGTGTTATCGTTAAGATATATTATTATACGCGCGAAGGGCGGATTCCCGGCGTTTCGTCCGCGGTCGCCGAATAGCAGTTATACGGTGTGGGGGGGAGGGGAGGGGAAGGGGATGATGGAGTAACCGCGGAAATCGCGTCGTTATCGAAAGCCCTAATTGCGACATAAATTTAAGCGGCAGTCGACATCAATCGTTCCGGGCGAATTTCCCGTATACATTCGAGCTATATTCCTGTAGAATTCCTTTATACACACACACACACACACACACACTATTGATTTGTCGCTATTCGTTATCGCCCCTCTCCCCCCGGGTCGCGGTTTCCGCCTCGTTGCCCGATCGTTATTAGGCGGGTATTCAATCTTCAGCCTTTAATTGACAAGGACGAGTCGTCTTGTATTATATCGCGCATTACTATACTAGTTGTACCGAAAGCCTTCGCCCGTGCACAGTATTAAGATAAAAAAATCAATCTCGAACACATGCAGCCTGAATACTGTAACATTAAATTGATTCCAAAAAAAAAAAAAAAAAGATCTATAAATCATAAAAAAATTAAAGAATCATAGAAGAAATCAAAACAATAGAAGTCGTAAGGGTTTAAAGTCAAACCCTTAAAAGATGCATCCTCGGTACGTACAAACGTATTGCATATACAATATGTATAAAAGTGGATAGGCTAAGAAGAATAACACCAAATGTTGAACACCAAAAAAAATATGCAAATTTTCTATTCAGTTTTATTTTAAATTTGTATTGATTTCTTGGGTGTTATGGCAATAATTGAAAAAAAAAAGGAATTATTATTTTCCGCTCAAAATCATTTTTCGTTTGCAATGTTGCTGCCACACGGAATATAGACTAAATTATCTTGTGCATATGACTTCTCAACTACCTACTTATTTCAATAGCTTACCGTTGAGGGTGAGCACTATCAAATTTTTATTAATACAGATATTATTAATTATAATTATAAATATGTAAGCCCTCCGTGTAATAATTTATTTTTTTAGTATTAAAAAAAAAAAAAAAACATAGCGATTATTTTAATTTGTTTTTTTTTAAATACGTTTAAAACGAATTTGTATGAAAACAAAAAAAAAATAATAATAATTATAAAGATAAAACACCTAAACCAATACAAATATTTGTCAAATTAAATAAAATAAAAGAATAACGATTTATTAGTCTAAATAAAAAAATTAATTTGAATTTTTAAAAATCACAAGTTGGTTGAATTTCATTACTCGATAATAAGGGTGTCAACAATTTACTGAAATATAACATTTCATAGCTTTAATTAAACAATTTCCGAGATAATGATTGTCACCTATCATACATTCTGAATGAAAAACTGGGTCATCTCTACGATTATTTTTCACGATAGTATTAATAAAATAAAAAATCGGTAAAAAAATATTTTGTTAGGAACCTTGTTATCCCTGTTACCACGAATTTATTAGGTATTGTATGTAAAAACGACCGTACATCTTTCCCCTTGATTATTACAGGACAGTAAATTAATGAAAACGTTTTATCTTTTGGTGGTCGTTAAAATGTTAAAAACAATATTAAAATTTTACAAAGTTGAAGAAAATATGGAGAACAGGCATCGGACCCCTTTGAGATAATATTTTGTTATTAGTAACGTAATATGAATTAAATATAGCGAAAAATTATACCCTACGGATACTGTAAACTAATATCACCAGTAAAATGAGCTTATAAATATGCTACGAAAAAAATTAAAAAAAAAAAAAAAGTAAAAATATGTAAAAATATGTAAATATGGTAATGTATAATATGTTAATTATTCGACTACAATCTTCGTCACGTTTTTTGCGAAATGTATAATAATTATATGGATAATATTAAGTATTTGGGAATATTTGATACACGACAAGCTCGTTCTCGATTTCGGTAATTATTATGACGTCATATCTGCAACTCCTTTAGTGTTTCACCCAATGTGTTTGCCAATGATATTGGCGATTATCATTTTGTACACGAAATCATGATAAAGTGGTATAGGATACACGCAGGGCTTTATTTAGGGTCTATAAGCTGAACATTTATTATGGACCCTACCGAGTATTCGAACTATTTTTTTTTTAACTATCCTACACTATTCTTATATTATAACCATTTTTGTATTAAAAATCTAAAAGTTGTATAGTTTATTATTAAAATACAAAGAATATTCTACGTAATTTATTTTATATTTGTTTGTGATTACGAGAAGAAGAAGTTGTCGAATTGAAGGAATACAAATTATGAGAAATCGAAATCGTATTTTACAGGAGGAAAAAACTTTTTTAACAAATACAAAATAACTGTGAAAAAAAAAAGAATTCGAGAAAAAAATCATAGCACAGGAAAAAAATTATAAATGCCAGAAAATAAAATAATAAACTACGTCTCACGGATTTCAACTTTGGAAAAGTATGTACATTAGGAGCAGATACTTCTCATGCAAAAACTGTTAAAAAGATACATATTTTATGATATTTTTCAAGGAAATTCTGTCACTCAATCTGTAAATTAGCAATTTATTAATATATTATTATGTAACTACCTACTATGAATGGATACATTGTATTTAATTAACAAAAAAAAAAAAATTGCGTATGGAGTTGAGAATAAATAAATGGTCATAAAAAATGTAATATTTCATTTGAAATTAAATTATCTCGAAGACCAACAAATAAAAATAAAGTCCTGAGATAATGATGACGGGTGCAGCCAATATTATAGGTAATTTAATGTATACCTGTAAGCAACGATAAAACATTGCTTACGAAATAACGATTATGAGTGGGGTTCAGTTGATAATGATGCTTTGTTAACAATAATACTATAGTAAAATGAGTAAATAGAATATGTATTTTTTTTAATAACATGTGTTTAATGATTTACCGATATCACCGGTTTTCCAATGTTTTTCCGTGTTTTTACCCGGTTTTCATAATTGCTGGGAGAAAACTCCGAAGAAAATCGATTTATGACCTCAATAAAAATTCTCAGAAATTATTGCCCAATATACCGGACAAATCCATGTTCGCAAAAGATTTATGCAACACATCGCTCCTAGCTAATATCCATTTGAAAAAATTGGAAAATAAAAATGTCCGTATGTTTTGTAATATTAATAATATAATGAATAATATATATTATAAAACCAAACAAAAGTCCTAAATAAAAAACATGCGTTTTTGTATGAATCTTTTCGCGCATTTTCGCATATTTTTAGTGCATATTTGAATGATAACAATCGCATAAATGCATGCATATTTCGTACGTTTTTAGTGCATACTATTCCGGTCCCTACTTTTAACTAATACCTACATTAATTCTTATATTTCCCCCCGTTTTTCTTTTCATAAAAAAATATAAATTGGTATTCTGTTATATTTTAATATAATTAAACTATTTTCGAGATGACAAAAGATGTTTTGAAAAATTTTGAAAAAAAATATATTGCCAGGTGTGGGGTTCGAACCCACGTTCCCATTCGGGACCAGAGCTTAAATCTGGCGCCTTAGACCACTCGGCCAACCTGGCCCCGATATTTAGCGAATATTATATTTTAATTTAAACGACAAATTGAATCAAGGTTATAATATTTTTAGCTAATACTTAAATTCTAACATTCTCCTGTTTTTCCGACTTTTTTTTTGAATTTTCACCATTTGTTGAGAATTATAATTTTTGTTAATTCGAATATAAAATAGTGATAAATATTTTAGACGAAAAATATTTCATATTGCACAAATATATTTCGTACATTTTGAATCATATTTTATGAGAACACTTGAGAAAATCGGAAAATTACCTACCTAATGTACCTCCCTACATCGATTTTCTTCTACTGTATCTTATAAATAATACATATGTACATACTTATAATACCATTGTATCTATTTTTTAAGTTTTTGTTTAACGTGCAAGTACTTAAATTTATCATAACGTTTTTTATCGTTAAATTTTAAAATTGTATTTCATTTTATAACTCGAAGTTTTGATTTAATTTTAATAAATTCGAGTTAGGTATCTCGAAGTTAATTTTTAACCTACTTCATCTTTGAGTTATCGTGACTGCATATAATATTAATATATAAACAAAAACCTATTATACGGGTAAAATTAACTTTAAAAAAAAATAATAATAAATTGATATTTTACTTACTTATAAATTCCACTCACACACACCGCGAAAAACATTAAAGTAAATAGTAAACATTCAAGCATAGATAATAGACATAGTGTAATACAGCCCTTTTAGCTTTACTTCTTTAATGTTCATACTCTGTTGTACAACCAAACAGTAAAAACTATTGTCGTTAAAATAGAAAAAATTGATTTATCAATTCGCATCAAGATTGCGTTATGTAACATCATTTTACATAACAGAACGGGAAACAGAAAGTGCACGCGTTTCTGAGAAGGGATATTGGCCAATTGTCCCTTTTCTTGTCGTCTTTGACAAATCTAGTTGGTTCGTCGGGGTGTTTCGCGTCTCTGTTCTCAAAGATGTCCAGGTTCATCATCCCTGGACACTTATAAAGTCTTCTGCTGATATTCCTTTTGATTTTAGAGTTTTTCATCACGATGATATGAAATACATCAACAGATATGTTACTCCCGTTACTATATCCTTCACTCGACGGCATCTGCTCTGCTTCATCCACGTTAACCTCCCGTGGTTGCCTGGTAATTTCACGCTGCTCGGACAGCTGTTTCGTACAGGCAATGTGGTTTCGGAGGCAGCAGTAAGCCTTTCGGTAATTGTCGTAGTTCTCCATCAGTATTTGGGATTGGTCGCTCGACCCAGACGTCTGGCCGAGGTCCTTGAGCAACCACTGTACCTTGTTGAGCAGACCAATCACGGCATTATAGTGCTTGTTTGTGGGCGGCATATCGACCATTAGTTGCTCTATAACAGCCATCAGGTGTTTGGTGCACTCGACTATTTTCATAACGGGCACCGTTTGCCCGACGTTTTTGCACACCGGGTTCTTCTTCTCCTGTATCACCCGGGGCGGGCGGAAGATATGATTTATCGAACGTTTTGGCGAATAATTTTTCTGACTGGATTCCCTAATCAAAGGCCGTGTAGTATCCGACGAAATTGCCGTTCGATAGGACTTATTACGTCGGTCGGACTCACTGCTCGAATGCCGAGGAGAACCTGGCACACCGGCCAAGCCACCAGAATCCTTGATCAGATGACGTGCAGTATCCGATAAAATCGCCGTCCGGTCGGACTCACTGTTCGAACGCCGAGGAGAACCCGACACACCGGACAAGCCACCAGAATCTTTGGTCAGATGACGTGCAGTATCCGATAAAATCGCCGTTCGGTCGGACTCACTGTTCGAACGCCGAGGAGAATCCGAGACATTGGACGGGCCACCAGAGTCCCTGGTCGAACGTCGTGAAGTTTCCGCCACACCGGAATTTATGGTATGACTTGATGAAAAGTCTGGCATCATCGTTGATTTGTCGACCATGATTATTTCCTCAGAAATTTCTTCATCAGAATCCTCCCAGGCGTCATTATTCTCTGTCGTCATTTTATTGACGATCATCGTGTTCGGCCTAGCAAAGTTCGTCACACTAGACTCTATCCATACCAGCTTGGACATTATTTCATTTGACGTTCCACTAGTGATTTTTTTCATGTGTAAATCGTATTAATGTTGTGTTACTCCGTATTTGTCTATGTGTAATGCAACTCTATGTGATGTGTTTATTGACGCATGGGAATTTTAGTAGTCTGGATTCAATTATTATTTATCGTTGTAACATTTTTGGTTGTGTTTTCTGTTTTAAATTTTAGTAGCCATGACTACTTTGTAAATTATTTAGCTAATTTTTATTAAGTGTTAGATGACAGTTCCAAAAAAAAATTTAAAAAGACTGATATTGGGAATGGGAGCGACGATTGTTGCAGGTGAGTAGTTGGGAAGGTAGGGTACATAAGGTTATTTAATTTCTATATATACGAATGGATAAACCATTGCTAAGGAAATATGATTCGGTTTGAACACAAAATATATTTTGAATGGCCGTAATCTTTAAGATTTTCGTCAAAATATTACATTGAAATTCTTAGAATACACATTATACATATGAAGGGTAAGGATAAAAATCAGAAAAGTCACTTTTTTTCCATAATAGCGATATCGGTATCAAATAATTTAATTGACGTGCCGTATCTTTTATGTGATCGAAACGGCAAAAAAACCAGATAAGTCGAAAGTAATGAATGCCAGAAGTTTAGACCTACAGGAAAAAAAAACAGATAGTTAATTTATAATCAGGTTGATATTGGTAATACACGGATATAGCCTTGGCTAATGTATAATATAATATGTCATGATTATGTTGTGGTCACTAAATTTCCAAGTTATAAAATTTTAAACATTAAAAACTGACACTTAAAACTGACATTTTTTTTCGTAAAACAAAATTGTTTTTAAATTAAAAATACGTTTTTCTCAGTTTGAAAAAAGTGACTTTTCTGATTTTTTCCATGTATATATATATATATCTATATATATATATATAAAAAGAGGTTGAAAATCTTAAAAATGAGAAAGAATCACAAAATATAAAAATATAGAAAGTGAATGGCAAATTTATTCAGATTTTTTGAAATATCATATTGAAAACTGTATATCAAGTGAAACTAACACATTTTTGAATACATTAAATTTTTACTTAATATGAACTATTGATATACTTCAATCTATTTTTTTATGTAGTTTTATTTCTAAATTTAACAATTTGTACTTTACACATTTTTTAGGTTAGAAAATTAATTATTATTGATTAATAACCATCACGTATATATTGTACTGTTAGTGGCATAACTAAGTTGACACCTATCCTTAAAGTACCTTAAATGGTATATAATATTTCATTTAAATTTAGTAGCCATGAGAAGCCTTTTGATGAGTAATCTAATTAGTTTTATTTTATTAGTCTGCCATTAATAACCGTTTATTAATCTATTAAAATATAAATCGCATAATATATCAAATTTGATAAAATTTGTATGTGATTTATTTATTGCAAATATAATATTAATCATTTATATCATATCAAAAATGATTATTAATATTGTTTTTATACTATACCTGCCGATTTATTATGTAATCAATTAAATTTCTATGTCATTTTACATTCAGATTATTAAATCCATGGATATCAATTATAATTATTATGTTTCCTTGGTATTGTAAATTTTCTGTTTGTATCCATTTATGTTTAAATTTTAAGAAAATATTAAACTTTCACATTTATTATACAATATACTGAGTAATACCTAATTAAAATACACACAAATATATGAAACTAATTAAAATAATTACATGTTATTAATTATTCAATCAGTATGGAAGAATCAAAGAATAGCAAAACTCTACCATACAATATAAATTTGGTGCATTTTGAGAATCCTGAAAAAATAATGAATAAAACGCCGGCTAAAAAAGTAATGAATATTTTATTATTTTGCATTGTAATATTTTGTCCGAAAATTTGAATCATTTATTTACTCATTTGCTATTTCATTTATGGAACCTAATAATTTAATTTTTGAAATCACACTCAAAACTACAGCTGGGTATTATTTATTGACCTATGCAATTTGAATAGCATGGTAATAAATAAAACATTTTGATTTTTATTAAAAATACCTCTGGACGTTATTGGGTATTTTATACGTAATTATATTAATTATATTTTGTAAGAATATTTGTAATTAAATTTAATCTATCTAATTTATTTTATTATGTCATTTTTACCATATCCATTATAACATTATTATTTATTAGTAAGTATGTGTTAATTAAACACTCTTGTATACCTACTTAATAATACACTTTCTATAGAATATGAGTATGTTGTCTGCCAAACAAAAAGTTAGCTTATTTGGTTCTGGAGATGGTCGACAATTCACTTGTGACGATGTTTGGAATCTTATAGTAGAACCAAAGCAATGGAAGGAGAATGATATCGATTGGAAGCAAAATATATCTAAAAAACCAGCATCGAAAACGGATCTGAAAAAACTTTCAAACAAATTGGATGCATACTTGTTACAATTTGATGCCAAAGAAGTGGGAATTTGTCCAATCAAACAAGAATTATTCAGTCAATGTTTCAGTAAGTTTGAAACCATAATTAAAAGACACATATTATTGAAAAGATTATAATGGGTACTTATTATATTATTGACATTACGAAATTTAATATTGTAAAGAATTATCTAGGTATTCCCAATGCACCTTCATAATACTGGTATAATAGTGATTGATTATCACTAAATATACCTATATAGTCCCTTATTGATTTATTTTTGTGGTAGTTCTATAATATTGACATGAAATTTATGTAGGTACATAATTAATTTTAATATTATTAAAATATAATCCTTATTTTTTTATCTGTGAATAACTTTTCTATCAAAAATCTTGTTCCGATTTAAGAGTGTAGTACTTTTCTGAAATACATTTTATTTAGTAGGCACTACTTTAGGGAGTTATTTTTTTGATTTTTTAAAAAGTTTTCTTAATAATTATGAAAACCACGAAAAAACGGGAATATTTACAAATATATTATTTTCAATTTTGTTTTTATTATGATTCAGTTAAAATTATTTCTATAGACTTGAAATTAGGACAGACAACTTAATAATTGCGTTTTCTAAACATGATAAAATTTCTAAAACATTTTAGCCATTATTGTGCTATTTATAAACATTTAAATTTTAAATCATTTTCATTCGTAGAAACTGTGTGGATAAAATTGTTAGACCAAAGAGAAATGCTAGTAAATTTAACACGAGGGTCATTATAAGTAGTACTTTGTCGTAAAAAAAATTGAATGTAATGTACAATTTTTTTTGGATACATTTTAATATCAAATTTTGATGGGCATTAACGTGAAATATAAATGTTGTATTTATATTATCTTTTAATACTAAGCACTTGGTTGGCCACTGTTGTAAGGAAGATGTTGGGAAGATAAAGAGGAAATATTAAATGTATATCTACAACCATTGCTAATGAAAAACGATCCTGACGGGGTGTGGCTAATAGTATTTCTTTGTCAAAAATACATATGTCATATTATGGTGTAATAATATTACATATGCATTGTATATTTTCTTAATGATTTTTGTTTAATATTGTATCTATTTTCCCGTTTTCCTACATTTTTACCCATGTTTTTTTTTTTTATTAGCAAACTTCTGGTAAAATCAAAAAAAAAATCTCCTTAAGTACCATCCCACTCCGATTTTGTTTTAGAAAAGTGCTATCATTATAAATCGGAGGAGAACTACTTATTTAAAAGTCGTCCATAGAAAAAAAAATTATAAAAAAATAAACATCATTGTAAAATTAATACATTCCTCACTCAACTAAGAATCTAAAAATATAAGTATTATGACTGAACCAAATTTAAGTTCAAAAATGATTGTTTAAATGTCGTTCAAAGGAAAAAAAAATAACACCATTGAAAAAACAATACATTCCTCGCTCCACTCAAATTCTAAAAGTCTTAGCATTATGACTGAACTTAATTTATGCCTAAACTTGACTGAATTATATGTTAATACATTCAAATCAACTTAAAATACTTATATAGGCGTGCATACTATACTTACTAGTCAATACAACTAAATTGGATTATATCATCTGGACTGACTTTGTATGAATCAATTAAAGTAGTTAATAATACTTGAGAAATGTTAAGAATATTTAATGGAAAATTAGGAATAGAAATTTACGAGCAATTGCAAAACGTAATTGAAAAGAATGGTGGATTTAAAACTTTGGTACAGATTTCTAGTATATATTTTAGTAAAGTGGATACTATGGAAGGAATAGAAAACGATTTGAAGATTCAGTACTTGGTATTTTTCAAGTATACTTGGGTATATTAACATCAGTAGATGTAGAACGTAGTTTTTTGCGCTACAAAAGTTAATTTTTAGATAATAGACTTAGCTATAAGTTCGAACAATTTTTAAAAAATACCATTGTATCACAGTGTAACGCTTTTATTGTAAATTATTATTTAATATAAAAATAATTAGATAATAAAAAAACTGTAAATAAATTTAAATACATAAACGTTATAAATTATAGTAAATTTTAAATTTTTGATAATTAAAGGTAAAATAAATTTGTTGTGCATATTTTAGTGTATTTCGACAGAAAATGCATATTTTATGACTTTTAATGCATGTTAATGTATACATATTACAGTTATTTTAAGTGTATAGAAACACCCGAGCCATATATATAATACACCGGTAATTGAAGTTACGGTTATTTGTTTCGTGTTTATTTATTAGACGAAATCATTAGACAAGAGACATTGAATTGTGCCGAACGGGGTTACATGTTGATTATGATACGGGACGAAATCAAAATGAATATAGAGTCATATAAAATGTTGTATGAAAGTAGAACTGCTTACGGTATTCGAAAGACATTGCTGGCAAGTATCTATAAAATTTGAAAAGTTAACGCATGACCAATCCCGTTCAGAGAGGGGGGGTCTCTGGGTCAAAATTGAAATAGGAAGACAAAATAATCATTAGGCCCTATGCGTCCATATAAAAAAATTGTTTAATATTATTTAATCGAAAATTCCCGACTTGTTATAAAATATAAATTTAAGTTAAAATGACGACTTAATAACTGTATAAACAATAAATAAAAATAACAATAAACTGTAATAATAATGACTGAAATGTTATAAACTACAAAGATTACTTACTTATAAATAAATTGTACTTTTTTAAAAATATATTTGTGATTATAACGATTTTGTATACTATATATATATATATACATAACAAAGAATGTTTATGCAATATATTGTGTACAACTTATTATTTATAGAAGGCTACCTTAGATAAGTTTAAAAAATATAGCCTTTAGACTATATGTGCTATCAGCACATTATTGTGAAAATTATAAATCTATATTTAATATCTTTAAATTAAATTTAGATAAAAAGGCACCCTTTGCGTGGTTCTGGCCCGGGTCCCAAAATATCTCTGAACAAGCCTGCGCATGATAGAGATATTGTGCGAATTAATTATATTTCCAGCAATTTGCATTTTTATTGTTTATACGAAATTAGTTATTTTTGTATTAATTTACCTAACCTTACCTAAGCATTGTATTCTGTAGATAACTTATCTTATAAAAGAGGATAAATTCCTTTTGTTTCCCCCAAAACTTCCATAAAATCTATTCTAATCTGATTTATGAAAGTTCGAAGACAAAAAAAATTTTTTATCCTCAAATTGTGCCCATTCATGGAAATTAAAACAAACTTGTTCTGTGTACCTACAGCATAGACAAAAAAATGATAATTTCAAAAATTTAGCCAAAATATTGAAATTGGAAAATCAGGTGCTAGAAACTGATTTGACAAAAACTGAAAATACGGCGGTCGAATTTGAACAAGAGATGGCTGAAAAGTACGAGATGGAAGTCCAAAATCACACCAAAATGATAAATGCATTGAAAAAAAAAAGTCAAATGTTCAAAGTAACAATAACCTACACATCATTTATTATCCTGCATACTTTTGAGCTTTAATCTCATATCAGTATGCCTAATATTATAATGTATATTAGGGTAGTTCTTATTGGGGTGATGGAAGAAATTTGGTTTTGACGCCCCTGAATTTAATCTAAAAACAAACAAATGTATTTATACATTGGTTTTGATTGAAATACTTAATTTTTAAAAATCCAACACACTAAAACTCGCCAATGTTTCACATATATTGGCATTTTAGTATACCAGACAACGCCCAGTATACTTTATTACCCCTCATCTAACCTAACTTTCCATACAAGAAATATTAGTTTCGTCAACTCTATATGCCTTATATAAACAAAATTCAAATTAAAAGAAGAAAAAGAAAGTGTTTTTAATAGAAAATCTCGTTACAGAGGAACTTGAGAATAAATTGTCAATTTGTTTTTATTTTTTTTTTAAATAAAGTAGAGGGTGTCAAAACAAAAATTCCATAATCACCCAAATATAAATCACCTTAATTTACATAGCAACGTAATAGCAACCACGCTTTATAATTATATTGGTTATTATTATAGTTAATAAATTTACATTTTTTTTTTTTCAGGCACAACTAGATTCTATAATTTCAGCGAAAAAAAGACTATGAATGTCAAGTGTTCGAAAATAAGTTTAAATTAATTGGTTTTTTAATATTTATTAGGTACACACTTATTTTATGTTAAACTTTAAATTATTTTTTTTTAAACATTTCAAGGTTAAATCTAAAGACTTAATATTTTCGGCGCCATTGTGGGTTAATCAAACATTTTGCAAATAGCCAAAAATAAATAATTGTATCTGTCTTTCGAATTTGTTCATATTGATTGACATAGTATACAATTATTTGGAAAACATCAAATATAATATACTTATAATTTACTGATAATATACTGATATATCATGAACTATAAAGATAATTAATAATAGGTATACTGATAGTTCAAGAATTCTGTTGGTGAAGACCTATTAATAAAAATCAAAAGTAAAATTGAAGTTAAGTAAGTGAATTAAATAATAGCTATAATGAAAAATATTAAAATGATACGCAGTTGTATGACAGCTTGGGGATTTGTCTGAAATTAATAAAAGACACTATTCAAAGTTCGTCTACAGATCAACAGTATATACCGTATAACAATCTAAACAAATTACATTCAAAACACAATTAAAGCACTTTCTAATTACTAAATGATTGTTTACTATTAAGTTAACCTGAACTATCTTAATGTGCATACTGCATGTACTGAGAAGGTAAATAATCATCAATCTTAATATAAGATAAGGTCCTATAATAAATTACTCACTTGACAATTGTGGAACCAACACTCTTGAAGTTTAGTTTCTGAAAAAAATTTTTATACTGCATATATTAGTCAGATATGATTGTTAATTTTGAATAATATCAAAACGTAAACTTTACCGGACAATCATTAAAAAGATACATATGATGCCCTTGTCATTTTGAAGTTAATGCATAAACCATCGGAAAATACTTCGTATAAAAATAAATATTAAATTGAATAAATATTTTGAAATGTATATATAAAACAAATAAAACAAATAAAACAATTAATGAAAACCATTTGAAATGTCAGAAGAAATCTTTTTTTTTTAATTCACCTATCCCTTCAAAATTAATGGGTGTTATTATTAAAAAAATAAAAAAATAAAAAAAATAAATGAATAATATAACATTTGAATACAAAAATATTATTAATAATTTTGCTAAATAAATTTAATTTAAATTTAGCCTTTACAGAGATGATTGGTAACAGATAACGCGATTCCTTTATTTTAACTTTTTTCAAGGCTAATAATTTTTTTACCAGAAGTATTGCTATAATAGAAAAATAACAAGAGACCGATTTTGTTTCATGTTTAATTTAGTTGGAGGCCAAGAAAGTCATGCATTATCTTTGTACCCCTTTCCCTCCAGTTACTACTGACTTGTACGAATTTGAACTCTGCAAATAGGGCATGGTATTTACAAAATTCATGTCAACCATAATACACGAAATGATGCTTCTTCATTATGATATTATTTTTTTTGTAAAATAAAATATACATTTTAAATTTGTTAAAATATGTTTTAAAAACTTTTTTTGTAAAACTAGTGTATTTTAATTTGATGATCCATTTAGCATGACCGTCCGATTGTTAAACCAGATTATGATATAAGTTTAAAAAATTAAAATAAAAATGTTCAACGGATTATTAATACTGGGATAATCATATGCATGTATTAATTTCGGGAATATGACACTAATGATATTCAAATTTAAACTTTTTTGAAAAACTAATAATATAATACCTTCATCAAAATTATTTTTGCATAAAATTATAATATTAATACCTACCTTTTTTTTACTGTTATTTATTCCAATGAAAGCTCTCAATATATTCACTCAAGTTAATACCTTAGCGCTTAAGTACTAGAATACTTAAAAACACATTTCATTTTCGTAAAAACGGTTCAAAACCGTTAATATATATATTTTACCAATAATACAATAAAAATCCACGAAAATAACAAAAACCTCATACATAATACCTATAATAGTCCTTTTTATATCCAACAAGTACATATAGATTTGGTGTAAATAATTTTACTGGAAGTACCACTCAGTTTATAAATTATAATGAAGAAAAATCCTTTGAAGACTTTTTTGGGTGTAAAAACAATTGTTCATTGCATTTAATTTAAATTAAAATACACATGAAGAAATGGCCACTGTATTAACTGCAAGTAATAGAATTTAGATCAAACATATTAGAATAGTCTTTAATTTCATTGAACTCACGTACTTATGATGTTTTTTCAATTTAAAATATTGTTTAACAAACGTTTAGCTAACAAACACCTATGAAATAAATGAATCAAATACATAAAAATGTAAAACTTGCAAGAACATTTTCTGTAGTTTCAGAGCTTAATATAAATTTAATACATGTTCGCAGATAATTATTTTTTATTTTATTTTTAAAAAAATTAGGACGCCCGGAATAGCCCTGGGCCACTATAATTTCATTAATTCACGACTGTCCAGTACACGGAAATATTAAGTTATAATTGAAATTTATTATTTCTACTGTAACCAAATTAGAAGTTGTACAGTGCGGTCAATGATTGCATCTAAACTAAATTAAACAATATTATTGCCACACAAACGCAACAAGACACGCAATAAACTTTGGTTAAAAACAATGGAAATTGATTTGATTGCTTTTCGGAAATTTACCGTTTTGTAAATGTTGTTTGACTTTATTTTATTTTAGTTTGCTCATTCCCGGAAAAAATCCTTATCTGTGAAGGCATTTGAGTACATAATTAATATAAGGAATGCTCTTCTATACTTAAGCATTTTTCCAACAGATTTAATAGCCAGGGGTCTGTAACCAAGTTTTAATTTTTGATATTAATAATAAACAGGTATGCTGTACAAATAAATACATCCGGAAGAGCATCTGTCGCTCCTGGGTCAATTAAATAAAATGGCGCGATTGATTTCATTGTTTTTAAGTTTTACGCATTTAGTTTTCTACCAGAAATATTTCTCTAATCAAAAATATCAAAATTACGTTTTTCGTTGAATTGTAGATCAAATTGCTTAAGAAGTAATTTTTTAATTGTTAGGCAATTTTCATAGTAATTAGAAAAAACTTGGGGAAAACGGTAAAATTTACGAAATTTATTTATTTTCAATTTCGATTTATTTTTTTTTGTTTTGATTCAGTTAAAAATATACGTAGATACTTGAAAATTGAACAGAAAACTTATACTTGCCTTTTCTAGACATTTTCAAATTTTCAAAATATTTTAGTCATTTTTGAGCTATGTATAAATATCTTAATTTTGTGAGTTTTTTTACGTAAATTTTATTCGGTGGGTACCTTGTAATCTTTAGATCAAAAATAATTGCTTGACGATTTAACAAGGGATTCGTTACAATTCGTATAAAAAAAAAATGAATATGTACCTAGCATTTTTTTTTTTTTTTTTGTTAAAGAATTTTAATATAAAATTTTATTGAAAATCTTAAATATTACGTCCTTTCTATACATGTATAACCGAATTAGGTTCAGTATCGGTTTTCGTTAACAATGATTAATCGTTGCGTACAAATATATAATATGTACTCTTCTGCATCCAACCTTCCCAAATTCTCACGTACGGTGGTCCGCCCATCGTGCGAAGTATGTCCGTCTTATTTTATGTTGTAATTCAATTAAAAATATTCTTAGAGACTTGAAATGTAAACAGAAAATTTATGTTTGTAAAATTTTTCAAAATATTTTATATATTTTTGACGATTTTAGGCCATTTATATTAATTTTTTATTTACACGATTTTTTATCGTTTATAACATAGTTTTTATTATGTAGGCGGTATGTAGATAGTATTATAATTGTTTGGCCCTTCTGAAATGATTAAGTTGCATAAAAAAAATAAAAAGAAGAAGAGATCACGGCATTATGGGTTTCTTTATTGTCGATTCGGAATCACCATCGCCGGTACTCTCCCCCAACCGTCGTGATGGGCAATTTAACGCAGAAACGACTGCCGCCGCGGCGGTTCATCGACGTGGCCTTTCTATATGCACTCCTGGTACCCGGCACGTCTATGACCGTAGTCGAAATCCGTGTAACCTTGAAACGAAATGCGACGCGAAAATAAAATATCGGAAACGCGTGAATTTTCGTGATTTTATATTCCTGAGCGTATAACTATAATATTCTATTATGCGTGGTTGATATTGTCGGGAAAACCGCGAAAATACGGGGGAAAAAACGAAAACCGACGCGGTTTGTACACAAATTAACGGTTTTATGAACTAAAGGGAAAAAACCGAATATGGGAATACGGGAGCGTTGACGGCGGCACGGGTTTTGTAATTTTCGAATATTTCGCTCCCCGTCTCCGCCAACTGACCCGACCAAACGTGACCCGGACTCCGTGATAGACCAGCCAAATACGTGTGTGGCCGCCGTCGCCACCACACAACCGCGGGACTGCGGTCGGTACAACACCGGACGGCGCGGCGGCGCGCCGACGTTCCGCCTGCGCCCCTGGTACCCGGAGCGCGCATGAGTGCCGTCAAAATCATCCTCGTTC